AAGGCGACCCGCCTTCCGCTCGGCAGTCAGGTCCTTTCCTTCGGCGTTCCGTCCTTCGAAAGGCCGGCTACTCCCGCGAGTTGGTTGAAGTTCTGCCGTGCTCGGATTGTCAGGACGCAGAACGACGTAGCATGTGGATTACGATGGCCTTGTGTCTTTCCGGAATCAGGGTGTTGAGTACTTACTCAAACCACCAAGCCACTGGAAAATCTGCAGGGGACGCTCGGATCCTTTCTGAGGTAGTGGGCTTCGGCAGTGTAGATACGAGTTTGCGTGTGTTTGAGCTCTGCGTGCCGATACTTGTGCATAACGGAGGTCTCTGGGTGCAATGCCGGCACGGTGAGAGTCAGCGTTCTTAAGAGGGCCAGGTTTTTGATGCCCAGCCGCATTCGCTTCAAGGCGGGCCGGTTATGTAAACGTACTCCGCGAACTTCTTCATGCATCATGCTGACCGAGTGGGGCCTCTTTCGGTTTGCATCGATCGTTTGTGCGTGCCCCGTCGCAAGGCTCTTAGCGCAAACACAGGCTGCGCTGTGCTCAGTGAGAGTCGGAGCCACCTGCCGAGGAACAAGTTGCTACATAGCCCTTCTCATACATTCTTTCGGCTGGTAGGCTTGGAGGATAAAGATTCCAGTGCAACAAATGTCCTGGAACACACCCTGCAACACTGCCTTCGCCACGACACTGGGATAATGGCGCTGGACACACGGAGGTGCATCGAAGTGCACGTTATGACATGGTATGACTGAGTGAGTGGTAATCGCTGTGCTGAAGTAGACTGGCTTGGTACGCTGCAGCTGCGGCAATTGATTGCTTTTCCACAGCCCGGCAGACCCTTCAGTTCTTTCAGCCTCGAGGATGGGTGCCAGCGATACCCGTGGCATCCTTAGGCCGCTGGTTGATAGCGACGAGCCGATGGCTAGGGTGGCTATGGCTTGTATTGTATAGGTTGGTGTTGCTTTAGCGACCTGTTGTTGGATTCGGGGGCGGCGGCTCATTCGGAACGTTTCAAGAACGTGCAAAAAGGTTCTCTCCGGCTGTCTCGCTTCACCGCAGAGGAGATTGTTTGTGCTCATTTCTCAACCTGCAGCGCTTTTTCGGCAACAGAGGAACAGCACCCCTGACGCTGGTGGCCCCGAGTCGCCTGGCCCTCGGGGAGTGGTTGCAGTGGTTGGTATTGTAACTTCAGACCAGTGGGTCCGCTATGCCGCTATGTGCCCCACAGATTCATGCAATGGTTCTGGCTCCACTGTGTACAGATGGATGTGCAGGTTCGCCGGGTAGTTGTTGCAGCGCTTCCGACATGCACAAACTTCAAGGTGAAAAGCAAGAAGTAGCTTAGGCCTTTGCAGCGGAGTCGGAGGTCTTTTCGGGCGGCACGACCTCCAGCTTAAGCATGCAGGTGAATGAGTTGAGCACGGTCAGAGCCGTTCTCGCGCAGATTGCCATGGAAGTCCACGCATCTGGTTGGCATGCCCTGGCATGCGCCACCAGACTCAGTCGTGGCCTCGCAGTTGAACAAGCTTCCCATCCATGACCCAGCGTGGCTGTGTGGCCTGTGCTTCGCGAGGTGCAAGAATGTGTACTGCAAGATTGTGGTTCTCCTTTCTGGCATGTTGTTGATCCCTGGAATTATAATGAATCTGATCATCGTCGCTTCTCGGTGTTGGGGCAAGAGCCTTGAATGCTGGGAGCGCTCAACGGAGCAGGTTGCACAAGGGCCCCTTTTTTGCTTCGTCCTGGTTTGGGCACTGACTGGGATCTTTGGTCTTTGCGTCTGCTGCTGGTGGCTCAAGAGCTGTGCATGTCGGCGCTGCCGCAGCTCCGACTTTCATTACGGATACGCTGTGGTGGGCCCAGGTAGCTGCTGGGAAGTGAAGTTTTGGATGCTCTCTTGCTCCAATGGGCCCCCGCCGCGAGGGCACGCATGTGATGTATTTTGCAGAAACTGCTTATGTTGTGTCCTTAGCATCATCCATACCCTGGCGAACCTCCCCATGCTCCTGTATTCATGCCTCTGTGGCTGTGATCAGGTAGAAAGCTTATACCTGCCTACGGAAGTCTGCGTGAAAGGAGAGGAGGTCGCCTTGCTCTTGCCAGAGCCTTGTCCAGAGCCCAGGGGCCTTAAGACCTATGTGTCAGCCACTTTTCTGGGAGTTGATGAGGAAGACGAGCCGCAGGCAAAGTTTCGGTGTGCAGATGGGACGGTCTATTGGCTCACTGTGGAAGACATGTGCGATGGTGAGCTCTGCTTCGTGGCACCAAGCTTCCTAGTTGGTCAAGTCTGCGTGGGCTTGGACGATCTGCTAGACATGGATTCTGACTGCAACACCGCTGCTTGGTCTCGATATTTTAACCCATGAGTTGTGGCAGTAGCTCTAAGACTGCTTAAAGTAGTCACCTGATGGGTGTCCGACCCTGAGACGGTGAGAAAATGGTGACAGGAGCAAACTCAAACCAAGCCCCCTTACAGCTTGTCAAAGGCAATCAGAGCCATGCATGAGGAAGCAGCGGCAGGCGTTGAGTGCCCCTAAACCTTCAAAACCTACGCCCTCCCAGTGATCCTCTGGCTGAAAGGGTTCCGGGTTTGGGTTTCCCGCGTAGTTTCCGCAGCCGCAGCAGCTTCCAGGACGGGGGCAAATTTGTGAGGGGAAGTGCGAGACTGGAAATCTCGCCAAGATGATGCTCGGATAGGTTGAAAAACCACTGAGCCGTGTCACATGCTGTCGATCGGAATTCCCAACCCTAAACCCCTAAACCCTAAACCCTAAACCCTAAACTTCGTGAACTTGCAGAAAACATGTTAGCAGCTGGCCTGCAAGAGACGAGGTTTCGGGGCTCAGGGAGGTCGGCTCAGTGGGGTGCTGAAGTGCGCGCTAGGCCATGGCAGACCTCGGCGTCTATGACCCTGGGAGGCTGGTTCTGCTTCCCTAACCCCCCAAGTACCTACTACATGGGTACTAGAGCCTCTGGGGGCCCTATATAGTAGGTACCTGGAGGGTTAGGGCATTTTCGGCGTAGAAAGGTAGCTGAGGCTCAGCGAAGCACGTGCTGACATCACGCACATAACGCAGTTTGACGCAAGGTATGACGCTCAAGTCCTAGCAACACCTGGTGGTGTGTCGCCAGGAACATGGCAACTGGGACGAAGAGGAGGCCCTGCTGGTTTTCGGGGAGCATCATCGACTGTACGCATGTTTGTGTCTGAGTCTGTGGGTACTTACAGACATGTATCGAGTATTGAGTAGGGTACAATTCAGTTCTACTTGCTATACATGTGTATATGTCGGAATATGTGAATGGGCTTCAGGTGCAAGTATGTGCACTGGCTTCCTGTACGCATATACTAATAGACAGATAGACAGGCAGACAGGTAGATAGCAGTATAATCAACATGTAACTATCTAACGTTTGTCTACAGTTGTATGTTGTATAGCTACGGAAATAGATGTGCACCTGTACACGTAAGAGTATGTGCAAACTCACGTCAAGGGACACAGGTATGACGGTGTGTGTAATATATTATATATATACTGTCTAAAAATAGGTTTTCGTGCGGCCGCGCGGTCTGAGGCCTTGGATCTTGTGCTTTTTGTCACAACTTGTCAGCCCGGAACCGATAAGCCAAGGATGAAGTGTTTCTCAGGAGTGCCGTTACAATTACAATCCTAGCCTGACCAAATGTTTGTTCTCTCAGCCGCCGCCGTGTGAACCGCTGTCAGCATCAAAGATTGCCACCACTTCAACCCATCGCGACACAAAAAAGAATGGTCAACCCCCCCCCAAGACCAGCACTGCCCTCACAACCCGCGATCACAGAATAAAGCAGCACGAGTGATCATCAACAACCTTTTCCAGCATCATCAATCATTACTGTATCAGCAATATATGATGATAATGGTGATGATAGTCGCGATGATATAGTGATGCTCTGATGCTCATCCAGGCAGCATCACATCATCATTTTCATCAGCGCTGCCGTGAAAAGGCGTCACCGTCATAATTCATGTGTTTCACGCTGGTCGCTCACCTACCCCGAAAGCTTATCATTTGGCAAAGCTTCGGCATCGTGGTTCGTGTGCTTGTTGGTCATGTTGTTCGTTCGCTGGGATAACATAAGCCTCGAAGCCCTCAAACCCCTTGCATGATTTTGGATCCTGAACACAGCCGCAATATAGGGGTAGCAGTGATTGTACTGTACAGCAATTCCCTTGGATGCCCGAGGCTGGGGAAGTGCTCGTCGACGCAAATGGACATCCCGCCGATCTCCTGGAGTTCCTCGATGAGTGCTTTTGATCATCGCGCTTGCAAGTCGAGAAGGGTCTGGGGATGCATACAAAATACGGTCCGAGCTGTTCGCAAGGCTCGGAGCAGTGTGCGGTTTCGGATTTCGGGCTTGCACAGGATTAGTCACGGTTTGGTGAGAGTGAGAGTGGGTATCATGACGCCAACGTCAAGGTTTGTCGCGGGAATTCAGCATAATTACCGTGCAGCAAGAGCGTACTGTAGTAATCGTAGGGCGAAAGGCCAGAAACAGCACGGCTCAGGAGTGGACGAGTCGGATTCCCAAGCCCGATGGCAGCCAGAAGAGTGCATCGACCCGATTTGTTTTATCTGCTCAAGCTGCAGTTTGAGCCGCATCCACTTCGGCAGACCTTTGCCGCACACACACACACACACACACACACGCACAAGTTTTTGCATCCAGAATCTCTCACCCCTTAGTGTCGACACGGCTGATTGATCTATGGTTCGGAATGACGGTGTATTGAATAGATACACAGGTCCTAGCAACACACAGGTCCTAGCAACAGCACCCCTTTGCAAAGATGGGCAAAACGTCGCCGGAGACGTGCCATCGCGCCAGCGTCCTGCAGCAGCTGGAAAGCTGGTCGTGCCCTGGCGCATATGAGCTATGCTTTGCAAGACCGTGATGCCGTGATGTTTCAGCTTGTGCCCGAGGCAGTACCCACACCCTCTCCGGCTGCTTTTTGTGGAGAAACTGGCGTTGGAGCTCTCTGAGCACTTGGATGTGGCGGGCGATGCCGCGTCCAGGCAGTTTGCTTCAATTCTTGGCTAGCTTGGACTTGTGCTATGTTCTTCTGCTCCGCCGACGAACGAAGCAAGGTGCGACTCGAGGCGCAAGAGCTGGGGCTCCGCTTCCACCCGGTCGGGCTCATCGGAGAATGGCCTGGAAGAGCAGCGGTTCACAGAGGCAGGCTCCGAGGGTTGAGAAACAGGCGATTTAGCTTCGGCCATGTCGGCTTTTGAAATTTTTGTGGGTGCCAAGAGGTGGAGCTGTGGTGTCACGCAAGTTGAGGGATCATGTGTTGCCATCTAGACAAACAGGTGACAGTGCTTGCGATGCCGAAGCCTGTGGTACGCAGGATCCCAGGTTTTGGATTAACATCTGCAAGCTTAGAATCTCTGCAATCCAAGCAACAGCTGCCGAAAACACCACGGAGCCAACCCTGCAAGACAGTCTGATGGATTCTCGAATTGTGGGAGCCAGCACTCACAGTATTGGTGCCAGAAAGGAAAATCAGGAAGTTCTATCCTCTGCGGAACATCATCTGCGAACG